TTCAGTCGGAATCTTAAAGAAAAATGATTGTCAAGTCAAGTCAAGTCATCTTCATTTATATAGCGCTTTTAACAATGAATTGTTTCAAAGCAGCTTTACAGAGATAAACATATAATTTAAGGTAACAGATTGTTTTGGGGTTATAGCGGTTCTTGAATAATGTTACTTCCAACTAAAGTTAACTTTGATTGATTCACCTCCGTCGAAATGATCAGACTTTAAACGCGAACCTGTGATTAACGCTGACGGCGTTCACATGCTCATTCAGAATTCTATAGTTATGTGCTTTTTAAAATATGTGCGCAGGTTTGTAATTCATACAACCCAGCCTAAACAAACTACTTTTCTTGCCTATAAATTTTGATACAGAATTTAGTTTTATTTTATCACTTCGGGGTACGCGAGCCGGAATTCACAGCGCTTTATCTGTAGAGTGGGAAAGGGATCCTCCATAGGGAGAGGATAGTGGATACTTCAGCACTGCATTGTCATCGGGTCCAGGCGAATCTCCTTCGTCAGATCTGGACACGGCCTGGATCCGGCAGGCTGCGGGAAAACCTCGGGATAAACAAAGACACTAATATTAGCGTAGATGCCATTCTTCTTATGATGTAGCGAGTACATCAAGATTTAAGGGAAGTGTTCCCAGTTCCGGCTGACCTAATCTATGCAGCCTAACATTGAATTTATAGAAGTCTATAATGTATTATGTGTATGCTAGGTCAAAGAGATGTGTTTTTAGTCTAGCTTTGAACTGACAGAGTGTGTCTGCTTCCCGGACAATGGTAGGAAGACTGTTCCAAAGTTTTGGTGCTAAATAGGAAAAGGATCTACCGCCAGCAGTCGATTTAGATATTCTAGGTATTATCAACTGGCCGGAATTTTGAGATCGCAATAGGCGTGAAGGACTGTAAATAGACGTAATGCGCCAAGAGCTCGCTCAAGTATTGGGGAGCTAAACCATTTAGTGCTTTGTAGGTAATCAACAATATTTTAAAATGTATACGATGTTTAATAGGGAGCCAATGCAGTGTTGACAGAACCGGGCTAATATGGTCATATTTCCTGGTTCTGGTAAGAACTCGAGCTGCGGCGTTTTGAACTAGCTGTAATTTGTTTATTAAGCGTGCAGGGCAACCACCCAGTAGAGCATTATAATAATCTAGCCTTGAGGTCATGAACGCATGGACTAATTGTTCCGCATTTCCCAATGAGAGCATATGGCGTAATTTAGATATATTTTTAAGATGGAAAAATGCAGTTTTACAGATACTAGACACGTGGCTTTCAAAAGAAAGGTTGGTATCAAATAGCACACCCAGGTTCCTAACCGACGACGAAGACTTGACAGAGCAGCCATTAAGTGTTAGACAGTATTCTGGGTTATTACGTGTGGAAGTTTTTTGTCCAATAATTAGAATCTCTGTCTTTTCAGAATTTAGTAGTAGGAAATTACTAGTCATCCAATTTTTTATATCAGCTATGCATTCCGTTAATTTTGTGAATTGGTAAGTTTCGTTGGGTTTTGAAGAAATATACAGCTGAGTATCATCGGCAAAACAGTGAAAGCTAACTCCATGATTCCTAATGATATCTCCTAATGGTAGCATGTACAGAGTGAACAGCAGCGGTCCTAGTACTTAGCCTTGTGGTACGCCATACTGAACTTGTGATCGATAAGACATCTCTTCATTTACTGCTACAAACTGATAACGGTCAGTTAAGTATGATTTAAACCATGCTAATGCAATTCCACTAATGCCAACATAGTTTTCTAGTCTATTTAAAAGAATATTGTGGTCAATGGTGTCAAATGCAGCACTAAGATCGAGTAACACTAATAGAGAGATACAACCACGATCGGATGATAAGAGCAAATCATTTGTGACTCTAATGAGAGCGGTCTCAGTGCTATGGTACGGTCTAAATCCGGACTGAAAATCCTCGCAGATATCATTTCTTTCTAGAAAGGAACATAGTTGTGAAGATACTGCTTTTTCTAATATCTTTGACAGAAAAGGCAGATTCGAGATCGGCCTGTAATTGACTAATTCTGTAGGATCAAGTTGTGGTTTTTTAACAAGCGGTTTTATCATAGCCAGTTTAAAGGTTTTGGGTACGTATCCTAGAGACAAAGATGAATTAATGATATTAAGAAGAGGATATATGACCTCTGGAAACATCTCTTTCAGTAGCTTAGTCGGTATAGGATCTAACATACAAGTTGTCGATTTAGATGAATTAACGAGTTTGCAGAATTCTTCCTCTCCTATAGCAACAAATAAATCAAATTTTTCCTCAGGGAGACTACAATGCACTTCCTGATGCGATACTGTGGTAGACGGTTGCATAGTTATAATTTTGTCCCTGATATTATCAATCTTATAAGTGAAGAAGTTCATAAAGTCATCACTGCCGTGTTGCTTTGACACTTCTGAGCTTGAAGCTTTCTTTTTCGTTAGTTTAGCCACTGTTTCAAATAAATACCTAGGATTATGTTTATTTTCTTCTAATAGGTTTGAAAAATAAGCAGATCTAGCAGCTTTTAAAGCCTCTCTGTAAGCAATTGAGCTCTCTTTCCACGAAATCCGAAATACCTCTAGTTTAGTTTTCTTCCAGTTGCGCTCCATTTTTCTGGCTGCTCTCTTTAGGGCCTGAGTGTGCTCGCTGTACCACGGCGTTGGACTATTTTCTTTAATCTTCTTTAAGCGCAACGGAGCAACTGCATCTAAAGTGCTGGAAAAGAGAGAGTTAAACGTTTCTGTTGCAATATCAAGTTCTTCTAAGCTATCCGGGATGCTGAGATGATGAAACTGATTAGGAAGATTATTGATAAAGCAATCTTTAGTGGCAGAAGTTATAGGTCTAACGTATTTATAACACAGAGTCGGCTTTGCAGCCTTGGCTAAATGTTATTTACATGAGACTAGATAATGATCTGAGATGTCATCGCTCTGCTGCAGAATTTCAACAGCATCAACATCTATTCCATGTGATAATATTAGATCTAGAGTATGATTACGACAATGAGTAGGTCCTGACACGTGTTGTCTAACTCCAATTGAGTTTACAATGTCTTTAAATGCCAATCCCAAAGCATCTTTTTCATTATCTACATGAATATTAAAATCACCAACAATTAATACTTTATCTGCAGCCAATACTAAATCTGATAGAAAGTCCGCAAATTCTTTTATAAAATCTTTATGGTGCCCTGGTGGCCTGTACACAGTAGCCAGCAGAATTCTCAAATGTGATTTATCGTTTACACTATATATTTTTACATTAAGCACCAATACTTCAAAAGAAGTATATTTAAAGCTCCATTTCTTAGTGGTTTTGAAAATATTACTATAAATTACAGCAACACCTCCCCCTTTGCCTTTCAGACGAGGTTCATTTTTATAACTGTAATCTTGTGGGGTTGACTCATTTAAAGTAATGTAATCGTTTGGTTTTAGCCAGGTTTCTGTCAAACACAGCATATCAAGATTATAATCTGAAATCATATCATTAACTATAAGAGATTTTGAAGTAAGGGATCGAATATTCAGCAACCCAAGCTTTATCTTTTGCTCATCTGTATTATATCTGTTTTTTATTTGTTGAACATCAATTAAATTTTTAACCTGACGTTTTTTGGATTTCCAAATTCGGGGAACAGACACAGTCTCTATATGATGATATCTAGGTGAAAGAGGCTCTATGTGATGGGATTTATCTGACCTTGGTGACGTGAGGCCGCTAGCAGACGGTCGGTTTAGCCAGTCTGTCTGCTTCCTGACCTGAGCCCCAGATTGTCATGTTTTAGCTCTAAGACTATGAGCCAAATTACTAGAGAGAAGAGCAGCACCAGCCCAGGAGGGATGGATACCATCTCTTTTCAACAGATCAGGCTTGCCCCAAAAACTTTTCCAATTGTCTATGAATTTTATATTATTCAGCGGACACCACTTCGACAGCCAACCATTCAGTGAGGCCAATCGGCTAACTATCTCATCACTCCTGCGTACAGGAAGGGGGCCAGAGCAAATTACAGTGCCTGACATCGTACTTGCGAGTTCACACACCTCTTTAATATTAATTTTGGTGATCTCCGACTGGCGGAGTCGAACATCATTAGTGCCGACATGAATAATGATCTTAGAGAATTTACAAATAGCATTAGCCAGCACTTTTAAATTTGCTTTGATGTCAGGCGCTCTGGCTCCCGGCAAACATGTGACTATGGAGGCTGGTGTCTCTATTTTCACGTTCCGTGTGATCGAATCACCAATTACCAGGGCACAATCAACAGAATTCTCAGTGGGTGTTTCACTGAGCGGGGCAAATCGATTTGTTATGGGAATCGGAACGGAAGAGTGGTTCTTTGATCCGCGACTAGAGCGGTGATCTCTCACAGTCACCCATCTGCCCTGCTGCACGGGCTCTACTTCAGCCGGAACTGAATCATGTAAAGAGTTCACTATGCTAGGCGCATCCAAAACACTATCTAAAGATCTAGCATTCTTACCATCCTCAATTAAAGTTTGGATGCGTGTCTCTAGTTCTGATTGTAACATATCCAAGCATTATTCTAGCAGTGTTTTTCTATAATCTTGTGATTTTTGCTTTGGCCATGTAGTGACGCTCATTGCTGTCTGTGTCGTTTACCGTGTTACTGGCTGTTAATGTCGGCATGAAACAGAAGTTTTACAGTCTTTTCTTCTCTATTGTGCTGTATATCCGAGTGAAACGCTTCTGGAACAAGAGCAAATGTGGTTATCTTTTTTTGTTACTTTTTTTTGTTTCCTTCTCATGTTCTGTTCTGTTCCTGTTTCATTGGTTCTTGTTGCTAGTTTACTGCCATGGAAACTCATTGGTTAATTATGTTCACCTGCACCTCCTTTATTATCACCTCCAGCATGACACAGCATAATATTAGGGCATTGTACTGTCGGCGAGGTGGAGGACGACGGAGCAACTCCGTTGCAGCCCTTCCAGTCACTACCTCCATCATAATGTCCTCGATCATCTGCACTAAGCCTATGCCCACAACGGATCTGGAACTGCAGCCCACCACAGACCCAGACCCGGAGCTGATGCCCGCCACGGACCAAGAGCCTGAGCCGATGCCCACTACAGAGTCAATTCCTGCAGCCATGTCTGTCACCTGAGCCAATTCAGTCTGAGCAGGTTTGTTAGCCGATTCCTGTACCCGTTCCAGTGGGAATATTAATAGAATATGCAGGCATGGAGTGAAGCCCTGTCCATACTCTCGTCACTGCTGTGGATATGATGAACTTGAATCCTTGTGGGATTAAGGAATATGAAGAGATTATTACTTGGTCAGTCCATTTTCTCTTAATCTAGGGGTCTCCAGTCCTGCAAAGTTAAGCTCCAACCCCATATAAACACACCTGCTAATCAAGGTCTTACTAGGCAAATTAAAAACTTCTAGGCAAGTGGGTTGAGGCAAGTTGGAGCTAAACTTTGTAGGACAGTGGCCCTCCAGGAGCAGCATTGGACACCCCTGTCTCAATCTAAGCATAGTTTAACCAAAGCTGTCTAATGAAAGATCATAGTTTATGAGGACAAATTGTGGTCATAATTCAATTTAGACTAAATGAGTTATTCTATGTTGCCTTTGCATAACAGTCTAATAGTATTTCAAGGCTCCTTTCTTGAGATTATTTCCAGGGACATACATTGGTGGTAGTCCTATACTTGAAATGTGAAAATATCCAGATTCCATCTTTAATTTTTATTGTATGGATATAATTTTTAGTAGAATTTAAGGCAATGGATTGGACTTATTGCTCTAACAGTAATGCACTTGTCTGCTGTTTGTTAGTACAGATGCTGTATTACATGGGCAAAATGTAAGAGTAAACTAGCTTTATTAGATTCACTAATCCACTATATTGTATAGATAAGATTGATCGGGTCTATGAATATGTAACTAGTGGGTGGATTTGAGAGGTTGTATTGTTGAATGGGGTGGTCGCTGTGCTTTCTGTACGTATAAAACTGAGTCGTATCAGTGACAAGGACCAGGGGGCTAAACTGACAAGCATCCTCACACAGAATCTATCCAACTGGGGACTGACAAACATGAACAATCAAACGATCCAATACTGCTTTCCAAACAACAATTTGTCTTGTACCAGAAGTATCCGACCTGAAGCAGAGTACATTGTTGTGTACATTTTCATCGCTGTAACATCAGTGTTCACCGTGTTTCTGAACCTGTTGGTGATCATCTCCATCTTGCATTTCAAGCAGCTCCACACTCCCACCAATGTGCTGATCTTCTCTCTGGCAGTGGCTGATCTGATCGCAGGACTGATTATCATGCCAGTGCAGGGAATGAAACTGATTGAGCCATGCTGGTACTTTGGAGAAATATTTTGCTCAATATTTACTCTTATTCTTTATGTGGTTGTCACAGCATCTCTTGGTAATATGATTATTATATCTGTGGATCGATTCATTACTGTGATTGACCCTTTGCGATATCCAATAAGAGTCAATAATAACAGAGCTGTTGTTGCTATTGTTGTAAACTGGTTATTCTCCTTTATATATATTTTTTATCTGTTGTATGAGTTTTTACTGTATCCGGAGAGGAACCACACATGTATTGGAGAATGCATCGTTGTTATTACTTTGGAAAATCGTGTAGTAGATGCTTTTGTTTGTTTAGCGGCACCTTGTTGCATAATTATTCCTTTATATGTGAAAATCTGCTTTGTAGCAAAACGGCAAGCTAAGCATTTAAATTCAGTCACAGACAAAAAGGCCAAATCAGAAAAAAAGGCTACAAGAACCTTAGGGATTGTAGTACTGGTTTATCTTCTTTGCTGGACACCGTACTACATAGTTACTCTTTCTTTTGGGCATGACGAAAATTACTCTCTTATAATTGATGTAATGAATTGGATTATATGCATGAATTCCTGCATGAATCCACTTATATATGCAATGTTTTATCAATGGTTTAGAGTGTCAGCAAAATACATTTTGACACTGAAAATATGTGAACCTTCATCAGAATATTTCAATCTGTTCCCAGAAGAGAAATGATCACTTACACTCTTGCATGAAGCACAAATGTAATTTCCATCTGTCTATGAATGGAATAGTTAGGGTTCTTGTGTTAAGCACTTCCTTATCAAACATTAGATGACACCAGAATCTGTGCAACACCTATGTTTGTGAATAGTTTAAATATTTTGCCTATAATGTATGTATATTGAGAACATGTACATGTGTGAATAACATTTTTGCTCTCTTGGAGGCCTTACAATGACGAAGAAAGAAAACAAGACAATGCTAAATACAATTGTGGGACAAACTATAAAACAGCAGCTGTAAATGAATAATAAGGCCTGTGATATGTAATTTTTCATAATATGTTATTAGGCTGTTCATGTCTCCCAATAGTGCCTGTTTATTCACACAAAGTGTTTATTATTGAATATGGAGCCCTCTTCCATTTGACTGTCGGGAACTGATGAGGTCAGATTATCTGTATTCGAACAAATGGCATTTTGCAAACTGTCAGTTGTAAGAGATAGGCTATCTCAGTTTTAATGTGTTCAAAATATGCTGGAATGTATGATGATCAGCAAACCACACTTAAACATGGGTCAGAAATAAAGGAATCAACTAAACACTTCATATGGCATCCATTTTCTAACATTCTCATATTGTTAAGCATGTTACATTTTTTAAATTGTGGCCGCAATGTTTTCTGTTGTAATGGGCTGAAATAAATATGTTCAGATATGTGTTTGTGTGATATGTTTGAGTAAAAACAAATACAGTGTAAAATTCTTTGCCCCGTGTCTGAATTCTGGATTTGTCCATGTTGTAAATAGTCATACTGTATTTCACAATGGTAGGCAAAGCAAGGCAAGTTTATTTATATATATAGTAAATGTCATGCACAATGGTAATACTGCACTGTTAACATTTGAATTATTAAAGATATAGATTTTTTTTAAACTATACTAATCTTTAAAAAACGTGTTTAAACAATGACACTTAGCACAAAAAGAAAAACATATAATAATGGTCTTGTCACAAAGTAAAAACCAACCCAGATTCATCCCTAATCATAACACCACCTTTAAAAAATCAGGTAATTTTTAAATGAATGAATAAATTGAATGAAGCATGTATATATAGCTCTTCTAGATATTACTGTACACTCAAAGCATCAGGGGTCTCTCTTCTCAACCTCCACATCATATTTATCTGTAACTGAAGTGCATATTCAACAGTGACCTGAGAGTCTGGACATAAACATCATCATCATCATCATCATCATCATCAAATCAATATTTGTCTTTATCCTTTATCCAACACCGACAGGAGCTTTTTGTTTCTTTTTCTTCCTCTGGTTTGCTCACTGGAGGAATAAAGGATTAAATAATTATGGAATAACTTTCTAGTGACTCCCTGATGAACATACTATCTCTAATCTTATCCAACAAAATGAGTACTTTAATATCGCAGTTATAATTAATCAGTAATGACTGATACTAACTGTTGCATTTACAAAAATATATTTATACAACAATACTATATTAGCAGTACCTTCTCTATACAACTGTCCTTTCTATCACATTCTCTTTCTTTCTCTTAAATTTTCTTGCTCAGTTTCTCATCCCGGCCCAAAAAAGCTTGTTTCTGCCATGGAATAAAAAACACAAAAGGCAATTGTGACATTTTATCTCACAATTCAGACTTTTTTTCCATAAATGTGTGATGTAACCATGCTATTGTGAGAAATAAAGTCAGAATTGTGAGATATAAACAATTCTCAAAACCCAGAACAAAACCTATGGCGTTTCTTTAGTCTCAAATCTTGCCCACATAAAAATCAGGCATGTGCACATACGGGCACGCAACTTTAATGGCTTTATCAGATTATTCCAGAGATTATGCCCATTTCAGTATGTTTGGGATTTTAACACACCTTTGAACATTACAGATGCTTTAACGGGAGCAAAACCACGGGCATGGATGCTGTGTATAGGCTAATCCTGTCATGTTTCTCTATAACAGTGTTCCAAACTAGTTTTTGCGACATTTGAAGTATCGACAATAACTGTATCTAAATTAAAATTAAAAAAGGTTGTGTCGACACTTTAGAAATTGTATCGATTAAAGGTATTTCTGCTATTGGTTAAAAATTGTAAGGGCTAAATCATCATTGGATGGAAACCTTGCTAAAAACAGGTAGAGTAGACGGAACACTCTTTTTTTCTTTTTACATTACCACACAAAAACGCCTCGGTTACGACTGTAACCTCGGTTCCCTGAAGAGGGAACAAGACGTTGCATCGATTGACGCTAAGGGACCGCTTTGCGTGTTGATGTATTGAAGCACATGTAAAATCAGTCCAATGGTGTGACGCCACCATAGCGAGAAGTGCCTGTCCAGTGTGAAATCAGAGCGAGCAGCACTAGGACGAGAGCACTCGGGACCATGGTGTAGAGTTCAAGTCCAGAGAATAAAACCTAACGAATGTGTGAGGAGAGGACCAGCCTGCCGCATCATAAACGTCTTGTAGAGGTACTCCTGACAATAAGGCCTAAGAGGCCGCCATACTCCTGGTTGAGTGAGACCGCACCGCCAAAGGTAGATTCTGGTGACCCCTTGTTAGGGGGTCCAAAACAGACAAACAACTGTTCGGATTTATGCCACAGGGCAGCTCTGTGGACATAAGCATCCAATGCCCTAACCGGACATATCAAATTGTGCTTTTCCTGGTCCGCATCCTGGAACGGAGGGCAGAAGGCCTGCAGCACTATAGATTGGGCCACATTAGTGGGGACCTTGGGAACATAACCCGGCCTAGGATGAAGGAACGCTTTAACCATGCCGGGCGCAAATTCCAGGCACGAGGGTGCAACCGACAGCGCCTGAAGATCTCCTATTCTTTTGAGAGACGAAATAGCGACGAGGAACAGAGTTTTCAAAGTCAGAAATCTGGCAGGAACCTCCTCCAGGGGCTAAAAGGGAGCCTGGGAAAGGCCTTAGAGGACAATCGCCAGGTCCCAAGTCGGAACCCTTGTGCGCGCAGCAGGCCTCAGCCTCAAACTGCCACGTAGGAAACGAGATACCAAGGGGTGTTTACCCAAAGACATTCCACCCAAAGGAGTGTGGTAAGCACCTAAGGCCGCCACGTAAACCAAAGGAACTCCAGCACTGTACCAACCGGCCAGTTAACTGGGTCCAGCTGACGGTCACTACACCATGAAGTGAAAACCTTCCACTTCAGGGCATAAAGTTTCCTCGTGGAGGGAGCTCTGGATTGTAGAATGGTCTCCACAACCTCAGTTAAGAGACCTGACCCTATGAGCTGGGCCCCCTCAGAGGCCAAGCCCACAGGTTCCACAGTTCGGGACGAGGGTGAAATATAGAGCCCTCTGCTTGGGACAGAAAGTCGTGGACAGGGAGAGCCAGGGAGGACAGTGAGACGTCTCTCGAGGCGCAAACAGATCCACTTGAGCCTGGCCGAACTCCCTCCATATCTGTTCCACCACCTCGGGGTGGAACATCTAATCTCCGGGAATCAGCCCCTGTCTCGACAGGATGTCTGCTCCTAGATGACTTATATAGGTGACCACTGATGTGCTGTCTGTGTGGACCCACACATGGTGGCCCCTGAGGTCTGGTAGGCCCCATAGACCCTAAGTCGAGCGTCCTTCCAGGATCACTACCCAGCCCGTGAGGGAGGCATCTGTCGTTAGCATCCTGCGACGACAAGAAGCTCTCAACATGGGGACCTGGGACAGGAACCAAGGTTTCTTCCACATAACCAGGGCACGTAGGCATCGCCGTGTAACCATGATCATACGAAAGGGGTTGCCCCACGGGGAAAACCCTTACCCTGAACTGAGCGTCCTTTCAGGATCGCTCCCCCAGCCCGTGAAGGAGGCATCTGTCGTTAGCATTCTACGACGACAAGAAGCGCTCAACACAGGTAACCTGGGACAGGAACCAAGGTTTCTTCCACATAACCAGGGCATGTAGGCATCACCGCGTAACCCTGATCATGCGAAAGGGGTTGCCCCTCGGGGAAAACCCTTTGGTCCTGAGCCACCACTGCGAGGGTCTCATGTACAGCAGGCCAAACGGTATCACGCTGGACGCTGCTGCCATCAAACCCAACAATCTCTGAAACCGTTTCACTGTGAGTGACTGGCCTAGCGTTATTCTTTTCACAGCTGACAGGATGGACTCTATGCATGCCGGAGACAGGTGCGCCGCATCAACATAGAATTCCACACTACCCCTAGAAAAGTGGAAAATGGAGAACGCACACTCTTCTTGGCGTCTAGCCGTAACCCCAGCTCTTTCATGTGGGTGAGAACGACATCTCGATGCCGAACCGCTAACAGATGCGACTGAGCTAGAATCGACAAATCGTTGATGTAGTTCATGATGCGAATACCCTGAGGACGCAGTGGCGCCGGAGCTGCATCTACACATTTTGTGAAAGTGCAGGGTGATAGTGCTAGGTCGAAAGGAAGAACTCGATATTGGTATGCTTTGTTATCGAAGGATGGAAAGGTGGAAGTATCCGTCCTTGAGATCTTTCGTGACAGACCAGTCCTCGGATCTGATCTGTGGCGCGATTTGTCTCAACATTTTGAACTTTAGTTACATGACGGAAACGTACAGAACTATTAAAATCGAAATGGGACGCAACCCCCCATCCTTCTCTGGAACGATGAAATACCGGCTGTAAAACCCGGTGTCCCTGCTGGAGGGAGGTACATATTCTATGGCCCCTATGTCCAACAGATTTTCACTTCTTGTTCCATTACCAGAACCTGCTCGGGGCTCACCACGGTGGGATGAAAGCCCCTTTTGGTCTGCAGGACCAAATATTTGGCAGTAGCTTCCGCGCTGCCAAGAATTCTACTAGAGGTACCAGCCTCTCGAGACTGGTTTCTGGATTTAGTTTTTGTTGAGCAATCAGCCCGTCGACCTGTAACGGCGAACCGGCAGGGAACGACTGAAATGACTGCTCTAGGACCCTCCTCGGAGGGGGCAGGCATCCCAGGGCAACTA